CATTCGGCTGATAAATTTTTGCTTATGACATGGAATTGCAAGCAATTTCCTCCATTTGTAAAAAGGTGTTTCCTATATAATTCTATGGCTTATATTAGGCAACTTAAGCAACGATAACGTTGACGTCCTGGACGTTAACTGTACTTTCGTACTCCCATTTACCAGTAAGGATAAAGGTCAGCTTAAGAGCTGCTTTCCAGTTACGCGTTTTTTATATGTCTATGTTTTATATGCCTAAGTTTTTGAAGTGGTTTTTCTTTCGTGTTCTCGTTGCTTAAGGTCCCTACTTGTTTTATACTACGTTGGAATATGAATTCACTTAGTTTGTTAGATTTTTTCGTTGTTTTTTCTTGGTTCACACTTGGGCTGCTGCAATTAGCAGTTCATAATTATTGAGAGAATCGTTCCATGTTGTTGGCTCCTGCAGTTGTAATATTGAAAAATTATAATTAAAATATTACTTTGTGTATTTCGTCATCTTCAACGGCAACGTTGCCTTCGATCGCTTGGATATCATGTTGCAGGCACTCCACCTTATGATCAACCGCGTCAACTGACTCGGGCAAGAAAAAAAGTTGATCAGAAATGCCATGAGTAGTGTGGTATCTGGATTTTCTAACATAATAGGCATTCCAGGACTCCTTAATAGCCTTTAGGGAATCCCTCATCACTTTAATGAAACAAAACCAAAGACATTCCAGCTGAAGTATATTGCTTGTGTCAACAATACCTCTGTCTACCAAATCTTTAAAAAAATTAATCCACCACGATGCCCACGACCGACGTAGCATGGCCCACCACGCCTCTATACGCTGGTTGCTGTGTGACGATCCATAGCGATGTGCTTTTATCCCATTATAGTGATCTCTGTGGTTTCGACGTAAGTTGCACTGAGCAGTGCCCATTATACCATTTTCAGTCCCTTTGTCCGTTCGTAGAATTGTTGGGCAACCGTTTTGGGATTTAACACAATCAAGAAATATTCCTCCAATGACCCGAGGGTCGCTATTTGTTCGAACGATCTCTAACCACATAATTCGCCTGCTAAACCCATCAATGCAGCCGTGAATGGGAAACCCAAACTGTTTGAGTTTATCGTACCCATCGGCATGCCAGGTAAAGTTTGGACCAGGATTTAAATACTCCCTCCGCTGCAGCTTATGAGCTTTTCTTACTGCACAACCTTCAGGATTAAGCACCTTTAAGATACTTTGAGCTGTTGAACGGCGCACACGCATGCCATATTTTGATTGCAGTTTCCTCCACATTGATCTGTATCCTAAGAGGTTGCCATTTTCATGTAGTTCTCTTTGAACGCATTCTCTAACTTGTTCTTCATTCGCGTTGTATCTTCTTCTTCCCAAACCATACTCCTGTAATCTGGTGATGAGCGCTCTTTTACATATTTTGATATCATGATATTTTTCTAAACATTCCAGTATCGTTTTGTACTTAAAATTTCTTCCGTAGTAAAAACTGATCGCTTCCTCCATATCAATAATTTTATATTTTACTAGGCCAAAAGACAAAAATGCATTTATAAATGTATTATACTTTGCAACAATAATTAATAATATTTAGACTTATCATTGTTGACTTTAAATTTGTGGTGCGCTAGGTCGTTTTGGATTTAAATAAATAATTAAATATTTGCGTTTGTGTTTTGAATTTGCGTTTGTGTTTTAAATTTGCGTTTGTGTTTTGAATTTGCGTTTGTGTTTTGAATTTGTGTTCGTGTTTTGAATTTGCGTTCGTGTTTTGAATTTGCGTTTCTGTTTTGAATTTGCGTTCGTGCTTTCATGATTTGCGTTTATGTTTTTGAATTTGCGTTTATGTTTTTGAATTTGCGTTTGTGTTTTTGAATTTGCGTTTGTGTTTTGAATTTGCGTTTCTGTTTTGCACCTCTGGGCCACCGTACATTAGCGATATTATCTTTTTCTAGTTTTGTAACTCCTTGTTTTTTACAGGGAGAAATACTTGAGAATTCAGTGTTGCCACATTTAGACCACATTGCGAAAGATCGGGATATTTTTGTGCAGATCCGAGGTGTCCAGCTTCTGGTCGATGTTATTGCATCCTCTGATTCACCGAAAGTTTGCGATGTTTTGCATACAATCGAGAAGGTACTGATACAATCCTTTTCAGACGGTTTCATTTCTCCACTCCAATTTGCCTCTTCATTCGTGATGAGCTGATACTGTACTTCAGTAGAAAACTCTCTCTTATCAGTGAAAGCTTCCTGACCTGAACCCAACTATATTTCCGCAAATTGGATCGTTTTACACGGGAGTCGTGAATGCAAACGCATCAGTGAAGTAAAAGGATATATATTTCATTTATCAATTCCAGATTGCCACTGTCCAGTAGATCCTCTCAAGCGATACGTCAAGCCGTCGTGTAAAGAACATGTAAGGTAATTATAGAGACTGCAAGGTATTTGTAGGAACATCTAGAGACATATAATTACATCTAATCACTGTAAATTGTCTTTGTTGCTGCAGCCTCAGGATGAAACAGCGTAGAAAGACATCAAAGAGGCTGCATTAGGATTAGTACGGGGAACTATTTTGGCTTCAAGCTAAATAGGGATTTTTGTCAGGACTTATCGTTCCAGTTGTATAAAATGAAACTATTCACAATGAATTCCAAATCGTAATTCATCAATGTATCAATGCCCCCCCCTCTCTCTTTCAAAAATTAGACCCATATTCCATTTCTAATTTAATAAGTGGGTTCTTTAATAAGTGATAAGCTAGCTAAAGCTAATGTTTCCAAACTATTTCCACATCAACATATGCCATATTTTTGTGCAGAAGATTAGTGGTTATAAATTACATTGGAGTGAACGAAAGGTTCCAGTGACGTTAGAGGTACTATTATTGTTTTCAAGTTTCTTGATAACTTACCTGTGTCTTCATATATATATATATATATTAATATATATATTATATATATATATATATTATATATATATATATATATATATATTATATATATTATATATATATATATATATATATATATATATATATATATATATTATATATATATACTGTCGTTGTCAAAAAGGTTGTCCTGAGCAAGTATATGTATATATCGATCACGTGACATTATTATGCATCAACACGCGTGGGATTGTACAAGCGTGTTAATTGCGAGTTTGAGTATAGCAAGGTGAACGATTAGAAAATGCCAAGACCATATTCGGATGATTTAAGGTGGAGAATGGTTTATCAACGACTGTTCTACGAAAGAATCATCGACGAAATTGCAGCACAGCTATTTGTTTGTTCAAAAACCGTCTATCGTACTCTCAGCACCTTTTGGAACACGGGTGATCGATGTGAAGCCTTGCCGTATGGGTCGCCTAACAGCGAGCGTATCTTTATTCCCACACGAAGAATATATTATCATGGACTGTTTACTGCGAACGCCGCAAATATAGTTGAATGAGATAGCAAGCTATATCATTAATGCTACTGGCTCTGCATTTGGCCCGGAGACACTGTGCCGAGCTCTCTATAGACTTGGAATAACACGCAAAAAGGTACGAACATTATGACATTATTTAAGTTGGAATATATACTCAATAGTCAATACCGCACGCTTGAAATCATATAACTATATTAATAAGACGCAAGCCATTCCACCTTTTCTAGTTGTTCTTTATCAACTCTTCAAGCCAGATTTTCTTTTTCAGATACAGAGAATTGCCCTTCAACGAAGAAACGATATTAGGCTACAATTCATGGCCGAAATCAGCCTTTTTGACCCAAACCTGCTCGTTTTCCTCGATGAAACAGGCATTGTATGTACTAAATAATACCTTACTGTAACTGGATTGCACAAACTAGTAGATCTCTTATTTATTTGGTTCTACGTTTTAAGAATAAACGAATTGCTCAGCAATATGGATATAGTGCTCGTGGGATACCGCCTGTTGTGAGCGACTATAGCTATGCACGGTGGACACCGCGCTATTCCATTATTTCGGCAATATTGTGTGATGGACTTCTTGCGAACTGTTTGTTGAAGAATCCCGAAGAAAGATTTGAAACACGCTCCTTTATCCATTTTCTTGATGAACAGCTTTTACCAGCTATAAATCGATTTGATGGGGAAAACCCGCGATCCGTTCTCGTTATATGGTTGAGATTTGAATATAATTAATGCAAATTCGCTGTTCTAACATATGTCTCAAGGGATGACTGAATTCGTGATCATGTTTTGATCTATTGATATCTGTTTAAACAAAACTTGTTGATGCACAAAGATGCAACTGCTAAAACTAGTAATACGCATATTTGTTAACAGATAACCACCCAACACATCATGTACAAGAAGTTGTAGAACGAGTGTACGACAGTCCTGATTTGAATCCTATTGAAGAGGTTTACATATAGCTTGCTATCTCATTCAACTGTATTTGCGGCGTTCGCAGTAAACAGTCCATGATAATATATTCTTCTTGTGGGAATAAAGATGCGCTCGCTGTTGGGCGACCCATACGGCAAGGCTTCACATCGATCACCCGTGTTCCAAAAGGTGCTGAGAGTACGATAGATGGTTTTTGAACAAACAAATAGCTGTGCTGCAATTTCGTCGATGATTCTTTCGTAGAACAGTCGTTGATAAACCATTCTCCAACTTAAATCATCCGAATATGGTCTTGGCATTTTCTAATCGTGCACCTTGCTATACTCGAACTCGCAATTAACACGCTTGTACAATCCCACGCGTGTTGATGCATAATAATGTCACGTGATCGATATATACATATACTTGCTCAGGACAACCTTTTTGACAACGACAGTATATATATATATATATATATATATATATATATATATATATATATATATATATATATATATATATATATATATATACTTGATATTGCCAGACATTTGAATATTTGTGATTGGAATAATTCAACTCAGGCTTTCATTCCATTTCTATACTTAGGTCTCAGATTATCCTACAGGATTTGTTGTTGTCTGTGTGGTGGTTTTAGCACAATGGTATGTACCAGATGTTGCTAGTACCAGCCATATATAACAAAAAGATAAGATACCAGTTATTTCTGTAAATTGAAGTTTTACATTTTGTGCACAATTTTGCTTTTGTTTTCCAGCATCTTTTCACATCAGAGAGGAATTGCTGAAAAAGATGATGGAATCTTCTTTCAATAATGTTGGTGTTACGATAAAGTATGTGAACATTTTAAGTAAACAAATTTTAAGTAAATGACAAAATGACTAATATTCAGGTTACTTTATTTGTTTACGTTTTAACCGTTTTTGACAAAATTTTTTCCAGGTCTGTAATTTACTTTGAGCTGTATTTGTTATTTCTTTTGCCTCGGTATTAGGCAGAAGAAAAGTTCCATCAAAGTGGAGTCGTTTTTTATAACAAATTTGGAAAATACAGTTGAATGATATATTATTAAGACAGTATTTCGTTTGTCCTGTGTAAAGAATGTGGGATATGACAGTAAATGACAATTTTTTCGTTTCAGTGATGACGAAAATATCACATCAGCGTCTATAAAGAAACTCCTCGGAGTAAAGTGAGTTATGTTGTTAATAAAATTCTTCTAAGAGTCTATCCTTTTTCTCATTTTAAAATCGTTTTGACACTCTCAAATTTAGGATCCTGTTGAAAGAACGCTGTGTTTCTTAGAAACGTACAATATCGTCACCCTTCATCCCCTTAGCTCATTAAGTCATGCGATATTCCATGTCAGTTCCAGTAATTGTTCATATCTGACCTTGAAAGAAAACACTCCAAACACTCAATGTTTTCTGACCTGGATTCAAGTTTACTGCTTTTATCGTCTTTTTTATTTCACGTTTCCATTTTTGACATGTCCAAGCTGCAAAAAAAGTATCCAGCCGAGTTAAAATAGTTTTATTTTTCCAGTTACTTTCCAGAATATACCGTATATACCGTATAGTATATCATAGTTTTCAAACTTCTTTTCCTGTCAGATATTTTAATAATTCGAAATCGAAACCATCCTCAGTCGTTCGGGCTGGAATACACAAGCGGTCGGCTGAGAAATTACTCGTCTCCTGACAGGTAGTGTAAGAAAGCAAATTTTGTATGAAGCTAAAAAAATATTTCTTGTTTTGAATGCTTGTATTTCACTCAATCTAGGGAAACATTATTGGCTGGTTTGCTAGACGGTGTTAGAGCCAGTTGAAACATAGAGATGTTTGCGTAAAAACGACCCCAACGAGAGAAGTACTGTACGCTTATTCATAGATGATTGAGCGAAAAATTATGGTCCAAAATTTTCCTGATTGA